CCATGGACAAGGTCAGAAACCTGATCAGACTTAATGTGTCAGCATGGGTTTTCTCCAGGTACTCCAGTTTCCTCCCACAGTCCAAAGACATGCAGGTTAATTGATAACTCTAAATTGCCCGTAGGTGTGAATGTGAGTGTGAATGACTGTCTGTCTCTATGTGTCAGCCCCGTGATAGTCTGGCGTCCTGTCCAGGGTGTCCCCTGCCTCTCGCCCATTGTCAGCTGGGATAGGCTCCAGCCCCCCGTGACCCCTAACAGGATAAGCGGTTACAGAAAATGAATGAATTATTCATTTAAGCAATTTCCTAAGAAAGAGCCCTTAACATTTTATGATTCCAGCCTCTTAAATGTGAATATTTTCAGGTTTCTCTACTCCTCAGTGATGGTAAACTGAATATCTTTGGGTTGTGGACAAAACAAGACATTTGAGGACGTCATTTTCAGCTTTAGGACACTGATCAACATTTGTCACCATTTTCTGACATTTAATAGACAAAACATCTAATCACTAATTGATGAAAAAAAAATAGACATTGAAAATAATTGTGAGTTGCAGCCCTGTTTTATATTGTTGTGTTGGTATGTTTACTGTTTACTGATACTTTTCAATACTTTAATACCAAATAGGCTTTTCACCTATTTTACAGTGACAACTGGATCTCCTTGCCATTACTTAAGTCTGTTATTCCTAAAAGCAGTGGTGGAGAAATACCTGAAAGTCATACTTGAGTAAAAGAACAGATTTTTTTATAACAGAAAATGACTTTGGTAGACATTAAAGTCATGTATTAGAATATTACTTGAGTAAAAGTGTTAAAGTATCTGGGGACAGTTGCACAAAACACCTTAAAGTCCTAGTTAAGATGTTCAATCAATCAATCAATCAATTTTATTTATAAAGCCCAATATCACAAATCACAATTTGCCTCACAGGGCTTTACAGCATACGACATCCCTCTGTCCTTATGACCCTCACAGCAGATAAGGAAAAACTCCCCAAAAAAAACCCTTTTAACGGGGAAAAAAACGGTAGAAACCTCAGGAAGAGCAACTGAGGAGAGATCCCTCTTGTCAAAATAAAACCGATTGCACAAAACACTCTTAAGTCTTCTCCTTAAGGTTTCCTTAAAATGTTCACTTAGGTATTTCTGGTTTTCTCCTTGATTCGGTCTTATATTTAAAGAATCCTTAGACCATTGGACAAAAAACCTTAGCAACCTAAGCAATGTAAAAAACAAAACAAAAAAAACTTTAGGTACCTCTGACTCTATCTTAACTGTAACATGACCGAGTTTATGGTGATAGATAAAAAAAAAAACTAACACACCCTGAGAAGAGTGTTCTGCGACCAGAGGAACCCAGTGGTTTCACTTTTGATTTTACACTTAAGATTTGACTGAATTAATTTTACCTACAGTCATTTTCTGTTTTCTGGTATTTGGGGGATCAAATTTACTGTGTAGTTTGTGCTTTCTATGATTGTATTCCTCCAGAGGTATAACCCTCTCCTCCCCTGACCAGTATGGTTTTCTTGTCTTCTTTTCTTCTGCCATTTTTTCATTATCTAACCATCAGGCAACTTTGTGAAATAATAACAGGCATCACACATGTGAGTCCAAACAAACAAACCATCTCCATGGAAACTTTTACTGCCTCACCTTAATCTCTTTAAGTGAGTTAAAATTTTTCCTTAACTAAGAAAACCTTTTAAGTGATTCTGTGAAACAGTTAAAGTCCCTCAGCTGAGGAGAAATTAAGCCTTAATTGTCACACTTAAGAAGAAAACTTGAGGTGTATTGTGCAACTGGTCCCTGATATTTACTGTACTCAAGTATCAAAAGTAATTTATTATATTAAAGGTAATTAAGAATTGAAGGCAAAAGTACAGGTAAATGCTGTTAATAAAAAAGCAAGCAGTCAGAATTTAATATTTTTTCTTTTGTTATTTATTTAAAACCATATATAGTATAGTATATATAGTTCAACCTTTTCTTTTTAAATTGTGCATTTATATAGCTGTTAACTGTGAGCACAAATGTTAAACTCTGTTACTGTTAAACGCAACTACACACACATGTTGAGTTGAGTGGTGCACATATACACCACCTTAAAAATAGAGCCCACATTATACTTGAACAAGCTCTTCTTCACAATTTTTTTTTTTTACTTCCCTTCCACTTCCTCATTCATTTGTCCGTCCTTCCCCCCTTCCCTATAGTATTTATAGTAATGAAGATGCATAGGGGAAATATGGTGAAATATTTTAGTTATTTATCCATTTGTCAGCTTCTACTTATTGCAGTTGAGCTAGTTTGGAATATTGCTATGTCAGTATGAAATTTCTTTTGTATGACTATTTGTCCCATATGGGCAATGTATGTATGCTGTTTTTGTGATGATGGAGTGATGCTGTTTGTTCGTGTATTGGTTGTGTTGCATGTTATCACCACCTGCAGACACTGAGCTCCACTTCTAAATGCAAAAAAGTGAAAAAAGAAAAGAAAATGATGAAAAATCAGCATTAAAAATGAGGAAAAAGGAGAAAACAAGGAAGAAAAAACAAGAGAAAAATGTCTACATCAGAGATGGTGGTGGTTGGGTTGATAAAAAGTTTAAAGCAGGGGTGTCAAACATATGGCCCGGGGGCCAGAACCAGCCCGCCAGAAGGTCCAATCAGGCCCACTGGATGACTTTGCACACCTGATAGTGATGCACTTGAGAAGGCTAAGGGCCGTTTCATAGTTGACGCAAAGGCACGCAGATGCGAGATGCATTGGCCGCCATGATGCGTGCTTGCGTGTCAAAATGTGTTGTCCATTTTTTGATACGCGATGCAGGGATGTGTGTAATACCATGCGTTGCCAACGGGGGTGATAATGCAAGGGACGTACTTGAAATTAACCACTTTTTGTTATTCACAGAAGAAGAAGGTATGAAATATGGCGGGCGAGGAGGAAAAATTTTGAGAACTCATATGGGCACACCCCCAATTATATAACAGTGCTAGTGCCCTGCACTCTAATAAAATAGCAGTACTAGCTAGCCAGAATGTACCGGTGACACTGCTACTCCCTATTGCGCGAGCAATGTATTGCATTTCAAGTGTCGCCCGCCTCGCTTGCGTCCAATGTGTTGACTATGAAAGGAAGTGAGTTGCTCGCGTCGCTTGCTAGCATTGCTTGCTCGCATTGCGTGCGTCGACTATGAAACAGCCCTAAGAGGTGTCAGGAGCAAGTTAAACAGTGAGTAGCTTTCTAAATGTATGCAGCCTCAGAAGTTTCTCCACCCTGACCAGACTACAGTTCTCTGAAAAAGCAACACGTACTTACTGTGGTCATACATTAAAGATATTAAACATTGTGCAAAATATTGTCAATCAGCAGCTTCAGTACAAAAGAATCTGTATTAGATTTTGGTGGATCCCTTTTGCTAAGACACGAAGGCTGAAACGATTCCTTGAGTAACTCCAATAATTCGATAACTAAAAAGCCTCGAGGCAAATATCCAGTACAAATACACAAAGCGGTGTGTTTTGCATGGATGGTTGTTTCTGTTGCACAACACCCTATGTTACTTTAGCTGTTGTTAGCCTACGCAGCTGTAACATAGATGTGAAGTGCGGATTGCAAAACTATGGAGGAGGGACAAAAAGGAGGGAGAGACACGCCAAAGCCAAAGACATGGCAAATGTCAACGGTGTGGGATCATTGCAAGTTGAAACGAAAAGTTAAAGTTCAGTGTGTGTTGTAAAACGGAGTTAGCATACCACAACAACACGCCCTCAGTGCTACAGAATCTAAGTAGAAAACATTCAGTGTTTGCCAAGGTAATGCCAACGTTGCGTTTAATTGCACTTAACCTTAATCAGTGATTGCTAGCTAAGATTCATAAGGCATGTAAAGAACGTACGTGTATCATGGCTTTATAATGGCTGATTAATAACAGAAATCAATGGGCTGGCTAACGTTACCTGGCGATGTATCATGTGTATTACCCAAGTTTTGCTATAGAAAGTAGCAACACATGGAAAATAAAATGCTGTAGTCAGTTTGTTTAAGCCTAGCCTTGTTTAGTCTTCATCCATGTTATGTTAGTTACACACACATTAACACACACGCACCCCTTACTCACTCATTCACACATGCAGACACACACACAGTAGAAAATGGAGCCTTAATTCCCCAATCATGTACAGCAGGTATATAAATTTGGATTGCAGGCAGTAGGGTCAGCAGGTGTAAGGCACCCCTCGACCATAGTGAATGAGTGTAACCTGGCCATCAAACTTAAAGGAACTTAAAGTATGATAATTATGAACTCTTAAGTCGCAGCTTTGTGTTCAACTGAGCAAGAACAAATGTGTTGCTCATTTCTCTCATTTCAGAGACTTTTATTATTTTCTCTTTAACATATTACTATTTCCGTTAAATAAAGCTAAAGTAATTTAATGAAAACATGCAGTATTTCTTATCCAATTACTCGATTAATTGCCAGAATAATGGATTAATAAAAGAATAAGACACTGCCAAAACTTTTGATTTGTAAATGGTTTGTAAGGCAGGGAACAACAAAACCTGCTTCCTCAGTAGCTTCCACTTTAGTTTGGTGTGAATGGAGTGGAAATGTGTAGAAAAAAACACCTGTAATGACTGAATGCGGAGAAATAGGGAGACATATTGTCGAAACTGCGCTTAATCTTCTGAGGACATCACAGGCTGTTTGTCATCTGTCTTGTGCATTTTTAAAATGTACTTTTTTAAACTAAGAACAGAAATATTTGGAGGTGTTTGTTATTTAAAAGATACTATTTAATGGTTTTACCTAAACTAAAATGAGTAATGAAATGAAAGGCACCTGTCCCACTGGTGAGTCCGTGAAGGGCCCACGCGGTTACGTTTTTCCTACAGCACTTAAAGGCATCTTCTGGCACTCTGAGGCCAAAGGCGAAATCAGTGAAGTAATCCAGCCAATCACGAGCCGGGGCGCGAGAAGGCGTGGCGGCCGGGTGGGAATATGAACACCGAGGAGCTCAACTGTCAGTCCGAGCCCAGAGGCGCCAGTGGGAGAGTGGACACACGAGCCAGACCGACTCCTACTCAACATCTGGTAACGCTTTTCCTTCTTGCGTACAGTCACAGCTGCTTCTTCTTCATATTTCTAAACCTTCCTTTATGTTTTCAGATACCCGGGTCAGTGTGACGGAGTGCGCGTGACATACCAAACATGTCCCAGCAGGCAGTGAACGGGGTCCCGTGCAGGGGCAAGGTGCTGACTTTGGACAACATGAACCCCAATGTGAAGAACGTCGAGTACGCGGTCCGGGGTGCCATAGTCCTGCGGGCGATGCAGTTAGAGAAGGAGCTCAAAGAGGTATTAAAAAAGAAAGTGTGGAGCTGGAGTTGGGTTTGATAATGCACGAGACGAAGAACACTTTGTAGTGCTGGTGTGGCTTTCATTAGGGAGTTGGGACACGTATAGCAGTGTGAAACAAGTCTGGCAACGCGAGAGTAGGAGTTAAGAGAAGTTATGTACAGCAGTTTTTCAAATGAAATCCCATATTACTGCTCATACTGAAAGGTGGCCCTTTAATGTCAACTTTCACATCCCATTTTGCCGGTAAAAGCTACTATATAGTTAATCCATAACTGACTGAAATGAAAGTGTGTGTGTGTGTGTGTGTGTGTGTGTGTGTGAGACATAGGATGAATGCATGATCTGCAAAGCTGCTGAGCCACATCAACAGCTGGAGTTTGACCTCAGCCAACAGCTTCAAAACACCGTTTGCATTTTTCTTCTTCAGTTTAAAACATTGCAGCTCTGACACTATTAAAAGCACCTCTCAGTAGATTTCGGCACACTCCTGCTGCTGTGGAGAGTGAGCATAAAAAGTTGTTTCCTCGCTCTGTTTCCTGGAGATATGATAAAAAGGTAAAAAGGGAGGAAAGAGAAGTAGGTAGCCCTTATCGAAAAGATGCTTGCCCCGGACGATTTTTGCTGACTGGCTCGGAGAGAGGAGGCAGGACGCAGACTGGAGGTCTGCTTTTAAAAGCTCGACAGTAGTGGTGGGCCTGGTGTATGTTATGTTATGTTGTGGGCAGCGCTGCTCAACTCACATTACATTCTACTGTGGTAATATTGATCCATCATGCTTCTCTCAGGAAGTCTTTAAAAGGCTGTAATGCAACTCTCTCCGCAGTTATGACCTCTTCGCAGGTCACGTAATGGCCCTGGATAGAGGGCATCCTGAGCAGGTTTGAGTTCATTTCACTCCGCTCCCAGCCCTGAGGTGGCCTGAGAAGATGTGTATCTTGTGCAAGGTTTATTATGTAAGATGAGTGGGTACATTCTCCGTCCCCTTTTGTCTCCCTGGGTTCGCCCACCTCCCTCCTCCCCACTGGGGAGAGAGTTCATTGGACGACGCTGCAGCTGTGAGGCCCAGCAGCGTCACTGGGCTTTCTCTGCAAGGAGGTCCATAACAAGCAGCCCCAGTTCTGCTGAAAGCGCCTGAGTTCTTGGTAGTCTGCTTGATTTTTCTGCGCTCGTAAAAGGAAAACCACAAAAGAACCCACTGCTCAATGTTTGCTAGGAATATTTCGGATCATTTGCTCCAAAATGTTTACCTATTAATTTAGCATCTTTACGTTAGACAGGTTGAACCCAAAGTTCAAAGGAGCGAGTCTAACTTTACACACATGCATCACTTTGGACAAAGCTGCTTTATACAAGTGCAGGACGGTGTGACCCAAAATATGTGTCACAGCACTTTTTAAGGAACTGGCAGTTTTGTGGTATATTAACTTTTTTGCATGAATGGGCCTTTATATGGGATTATAGATGTTTATTCTACAGTCAGGAGTACACAAAATACTCCCCTTTGCTTTTGCCTGATTGGCGGCAGGGCTCACTGCAAAACAAATGCGTGTGAAAACTATCTGAAATGTGAAATCCAGGAGTTTTCTGAGGGGTCAGCGAGGGTTTGTATTACTGCGGTTGCTCAGTGATCTGCGGGTGTGCTTCCTGTCAGATCTGAGTCTGGAACACTTTTACTGATGGCTCAGCAGATTTTATGCAAGTGTGTGCGTATGTGTTTGTGCATGCGTACACGGGTGTGGTGATGACCCTTATAAATCCTTAGCCAGACATCTGGTATGACAGTGCCTGCGCTGCAGTAAGCTTTTTCAGGCGTGGATCTAAGCTGCTGGCAAGTCTGCAGTGTCAGTGACAATGAAGTGGTGACAATGGAGCAAAAGATCAGAGAAAAAACTGAGGTTTCATTGGGTCATGAATTTATTAAAGGAGCAGTGTGTAGGCTTTAGTGGCATCTAGTGGTGGGAATTGCAGATTGCAACCAGCTGAAACTTCTCCTGTGTTTGCAAAGCATGAGCTCCCAGTTGGATTGCTTTGGTGATCATTGTTCAGGGGTTTTTACAGGGCGCTGAAGTATCCTCAGAGGTCTCTTCCTCTCCAAAACGAACTGATCCAGTGATTTAAACCAGTAAAAAACACTGAATAAAGCAGTTCCATGGTACAAATCAGTGTTTCTCTGATGCTGTTTGGCAGACAGGCCGCCAGCTCAGCACCTGCTATGTGCTCACCTTTTTCTCTGATAACTTAAGATCCAGTGGCCATATTCAGAAAGCCTCTGAGAGGAAAGTGTTGCTTCAAGTGACACAATTCCAAGAAAATTCTTAAAGTTAAGACAAGTTCCTCGTGAAGATAAGTTAATCACAAAGCATCTTCGACCTTAAAAGAGCTCCTAAGGTGAAAAACTGTTAGGAGTAGAGAGGAGGACTTTAAAAGGGCTTAAGAGTTTCTTAAGCAGAGGAAATGGTGGAAACACAAAGAGGTCGGAGAAATATTCTCCAAACGCTGGATGACAGTGAGTAAATGAAATGCTACAGATTAGATCATGCAGGAAAAATATTTGTGGTCGATCTCATTAGGGGTACGCACCCAACGACGCAATGCTGTAACACCAGAAATAAAACGATCACAGATCCAAAGATATTTGGAAAACTGGAAAAAAGCAACTGTGCAGCAGTGATGAGTTGAGTCTGTCTCAACCTTCCATCAGCAGAGTTATCACACTAACAATGACAACACTTTCACAGTCAGCAGTTCATTTCATTTCCACTGGGTGTCCACACCTTGCAGGCTCACAAAAGGGTGTGTCTGTGACAACCAGTCACACCTGTTAAAAGAATGCGTAAAAGTATTTGCGTAAAAGAATAAAAAACATCACCGTTGGCTACATTTCACAAGCTCAAAAGTCAAGAAAAAATACCCTTAAACCTGTTTTCCTTATGACACAGAACAATACAACTGCACACCTTCTGAGTTCAAGTTTCTCTCTTCACCGAACTAAGACTAGCTTAATTGCCTTAACTCATCAAAATACACACTTCACTCAAACTCAACTAACAAAATAAACTCACCAATACCATCTTAGTTAGTTTTGTTTGTCATTAACTTAGTTCGTCTACTGTTCCAACAATCATTAACTCTGGTTTGGTCAAGATTAATTGACTTAGATTTGTAAATAAGTGGTCTCTCTCTGCCTTTGCTGGCCGGCTTTTTATTAGTCCTGTAATGTTATACCCACCACTTGTAGTTGCCGTCATTCTCAGCTCAAGGAAAGTTGCAATAGAACTAGCGCTGGCTCCCAGCGGCAGTGATGTGATTGGATCCAAATCCGTGTACTTACGTACTTACTTGACCAACGGCTGATTGGCTTTGCCTTACACCCGCCTACACCAAAATTGCTGTTTCCCGAATTGTTGTCCGTTGTACAACAGAAAAGGAAGTGTTCAGTGCATCGCAAGAAGAGATTAAAATTGATATGATTTCATTTGATTCAGCTATATTGCAGAGCTGCAACGTCTCTGTTACATGTAACACACGTGCCGTACCTATAGCAACGCTGTCACGTGGTCTGGATATCCCCACCCATTTCTATTACAAAACGAAAGACGAATGTCCCCAGACTCCCATTTCGAAGTAAGGGAGGCTGGTCACGCGAGACTACAGCATGTCCATATCAGTTTAATGTGAATAGGAGCGTCTGTATTTTTGACAGTATTGAAAGTTAGACCTTTGGGTTTCGTAAATACCTTGATACTGCTCAAGCCTGGGCTCTTCCTCTCAGAAACAGAAGGACCCTGTTAAGTTTTAAGTTTTGGTGTTTGGATCCCAAAAATGCAGAGACAGAGGCAAGGACAGTTCTTGGGGTGTTTATTGAAAGAATAATGTCTCCAAGAAAAAGGGCAAGAGGCTGTGGAGGTGGTGGCTGAGGGCTGACAGGTTGCAGGTGAGGTGGCAAATTGACCAGGAGATCCACAGAGGCTGAACACCAGAAAAACAGTAGCACTGGAGACTGCAGGCAAGGCACACTGGAAAACTATACACAGGAAAACAACTCAGGTCAATCCATACTTTATAACAAAAACTCAAAGAAGCTCAAGTAAGTCACAAGAAGCTCTGGTGAACAAGGGAATCATCAGGGACTCATAGTTACCGACTGCAACGGGATAATTTGGCACAGGAGTGGTGTCTTGACCAGGCTTTTATGGCAGGAGTAATTATTGATGAGCACCAGGTAGGCCTCGTAGTGAAGGCCCTGCTCAGCCAGCCACACCCTCAGCTGCCCACACACTGCCAGGGAGAAAAAACAGAAAGGAGGGGAAAAAGAAAACACAGAATAACCCCAAACACCAAAACAAACATCACCACGACAGACCCGGTGATGTAAAGTAGTAAAAAATCAAAGATCAAAGTAAACTGTCAAGGTTACTTTGATCTCTGATGGCATCTCCGTAAAACTTGTATTGCGTTAGATACATCACATGAGCAAACCGGCAGTGGTTATTTCATTACATGCATCAGATAGAGCTTGAATCAGTAGAGTTCCTGTTATTCTAGCATGACTGAACACTGTCAAGGATGACAGTTAGAGATTATATCACAAGGCTAAGTGATACACGAATTCAGGCCGGGCTCTATTCAGCCTGTTGACCCTGAGGGTTTCTTGGCCTGGCTCGCTAGTCCAGTCTGTGTAATCAGTGCCTGGTGCTGAGTGAGCAGGAGAACGCAGCGCTGACTGGCTCCTGTCTTTCTCGGAGAACAGCAGCCTCTTTGTTGCTCCACAACAAGGCAGGGACGAGGACGAGGACTAAAGAGGAAACGGGCGTATCTGACTTAACGCTAACCCAAAGATCCTCACAGGGCTTGCTTTTGCGTCATGCAAGAACGTGGAAATGATAATATTGACTCTAGTTCTTTTTGTGCCCTTGGATGCCTTTGGCCTGGTATTAGATCATGTTGAATCATGACACGGATCATGTGAACAGCATGTTACAGAGTAGGTATAAGCC